CGTCTGGGTTCCCATCACCACCACCGTGAATGATTCTTACTCGACGAGTTTCTCTAGAACTGCGAATTTTTCATTAAAACACGTACTTTTACGTTTAAATGGTTTAATTATGAAGAAATTGAGAAAAAATAAGTGTACCTCCCGTTTAGGTTTTGGAAATGAGACTACCGATCTATGACGCCTTTTGCGTTGATTAAAATCTACGAAACGGTCACGCGAGGGCTCTACCAACGGTTTTTCTAAACACCCGTGTAGCTCCGCTGCACTCATTAGAGGCGTGTTAGCTGAAGCAGGTAAAACAGTCCTTTCTTCTAGTTGTTGTAAAGAAAAAGTACTTAGTACTAGACCACACCATGAAACAACAGGTGCTGGGCAGGAGGAGGAAAACGGTGAGGTGCCGTCGAGCAGATGCCAGGCCTTTTAATTAGTAGTTCTCTGACAGGGTAGCTTGTGTAACTTATTGGTAAAGTTAACTAGCGATATTAGCAAAGGCCGTTGTTAACTTTTGAGGCACATCAGTCTCCAAGACGCGGCTACACATAACGTTTGCTAGCTAATTAGTTCCGTCCATTACACAATCAGGCCTGTTTTAGCCTACTAGCAAACAGTTGTGCTACAGTACGGGCCCATTTACTCAAAGGCTTAAGATGGGGTGGGCTAGTTAGCTAGCATGCTTAATATCCTTTGACCTTGCCTGGTTGCCTATAGCCAAAGAGAAAAAGACACGATTTGACTGTTGGGCTTAACTTTCTGGGGCAGACGGTAAGTTTTGGTGTACTTGGTTTTAGTTTTTCTGTTGATGCCTGTCCTAGGAAATTGATAAGTCATGCATCTTAGAGTTTCTTTTTGGACTGTTATAAATTCAGCCCCTTCAGATGGCCAGGAAAGTTCTTCTATAACCGGCTGATAAAGGTAAATACATGAGCTGTGGTCTGTCAGTTTTATGTGTTTAGTTGTGTCCAGGAATGTTGGCTAGGCTCTTTCCTCACTAGGCCTGTCTGAGCTCACTTACTGAGGCATGACCGGCTACTCAGGTGTACAACAGTAGGGTACTATGGTCATTACGGGGGTGTCAGACTGGTCCTGGAAGGCAGTGCTTTGTAGAGATAAGAACTTTTCTAGCACACGACGTTCAGCTCCTGAAGGCCCTGGTAAGTTAATGAATTGAGTGAGATATGTTGGTGTGTAAAGTGCCAAAACCTGCAGTGCTTTGCCCTCCAGTACTGGATCGTAAGCATCCCTGATCTACACTAATGACAGACTCTAAAGTGACTAAATTTATGTGCAGGAGAGGAAGCGCTACATGGAGGAGAGCACCGCTATGGAGTCCAGTATTGGGCCACACTACACTGTGTCAGAGGACAAGGTGAACTTGGCAGACTGCTGTACTTTTGGTCTTCTAGTATTGATACACAAATGTAGCCTTTCTGTCATTAACACACTGTTCTTGATCTTAACCACTGTTTATTTCCCGCTTTCTAGATGGATGGATACCTGAGCGAGGATCCTGTTCTTAACTCCTCAATGTGTGACCTGTCGGACGAAGAGGTACAGAGAGTGACTTCTTCCTTTTTTCGTTTGGGGGTAATGAGAAGTGCATATTGTTGAGTAATTTTATGTGGTAAATTCGAAGCCATGTCTTTTTAGATTTCAACAAAGAAAGAAAAACACCTGAGGCTTGGCCCTGAAGACCTCAATGATACACTTTTGTATGATTTTTGAGTTGCGTGAAAGTGTAAAATGTGTGAAGTTCACTGTTTAAAAAAGTTTGCTGAACTTGCACTCTGGTCATATTTCATGTTTTATTAAATATAAAAATAAATTGTTTTAAATAGCAATGGGAAGTCTATATTATTTGGGCTTATTCTGCTAATGTAAAAATCAGCAGCCGGATGTAAAACCTGAGTGTATTTATGTAATCCCTCCTGCTCCTTCATGGTACAGGAGTTGGAAGAGACAAGTGCCAGCGAGTCACGTAAGCTTGTACTGGGACAATGGTTGATTTTTAGGCTTGTGGTGCCTTTCTCAGTTCTGTAGGGGAAGCAGAAAGTCTCGTACCATCCTACAGTAACCTTAAAGGGATCTGATACCTTCATGGTTTAGGGTGCACAATATACTACTGTCACATTTAACCAAACTGGCTTTTACAGAAATGGTCAGTGCAGATGTAAAGCAAACTGGTTGAGTTTACTGGGTATCCCTGTCCCCCCCACCCCCCAACAAAGTCCCGTTATTTCCTGCAGCAATAAAAAGGGGACACATATTGATTGGGCTAAATCTGTTAAAAATCTACTTAATGTGTCTCTTGTAAAATACATTAATGCAGCACCACAGTGCTTTAATGTTTTGAAGGCATTGAGAGCCTTTTTGGCTTCAGAAATGACTGTGCTGCCATCTGGAAACTGCCTGTAACTAAAGTCAGTGTTGAATTCCACATAAACTACCATATAACCTTAGACCAGTGCAAGAAAGTCATAAGATCTGATGATTCACCCATTGCTCATTTTCTTTTTCTACTTCTGGATGTTTTTTTTCTTTTGAGCAAACTGGAAATATAATTTATTTGAAACTGTCAGGATGAAGTCTGCCAAACAAAAAATTTTCCTCCAGTGGTTTTAGCGTCAGTCATATGGGTATATTCTCTATTATAGGGGCATTTGACCCACAGATGGAATTCTCATTAAGTGTAATGCAACAGCTTTTTAAAATGAAATAAACAACTGTATCACGTGGTAGCTTGCTTGCTTGCTTGCTTGCTTGCTTGCTTATGAAACTGTGTACGAAGATGAATGCCTTGGTGTAATACATTCTGGCCATTAAGTGTAGTGATGAGTGAATGTTTTGTCATCTTCCATATCATGGAACCTGTGTCCCTGAGCATGAAGGGCTCATTTGTAATTCACATTGAGCTTACTACATGTGCAGTGTTGCAAACTTAACTCTTTAGTATCCTTACTTTATTAGCACCTTTGATTGTGCTTGAAGTTTTATTTCTGTTTGCTGAAGAAAACGTTTGTCTATTCTTAGGTCGTTTGGTAAAAGGGAAATGAAATGTTGGAGGTGTAGAGCTTCTATTGTGGCTTTTTCACTACCTCATGGAGGCACTGGTTTAGTTCCTCTCTCTCGTGTACTATGACTCTCTAACAACTCCACTATTGTTACGGTATGTGCATGGCTTTTCCACCCCATGTAGTTGTGCAGCCAGTCAGTGCTGCTTCCTCAAACTCTGGTCCTGGAGGGCAGCAGCACTGTGGTTTTGTTTTCCCGGAACGTTAACACTTTATTAAACTTAACGATTAACTGATGATACTAGAGATGGCACAATTTCGTCTTTTTTGATACCGATATTGAAACCTTGAGTGCTAGTGGATGCCAAACACTAATATTTAAAATAAGCTATTTTTAATTGAAGCACGTCACTTAAGATGAGCATCTAAATGTAGTCTATCATGCTCACCCTACTCATACGCTCTACTACCCCGTGGGAGGAAATACAGCTACCATCACGTGACTGTGTGCTATTTCAGGGCACATGTACAGGATTATGTGGTTTGGATTCATTCTTTTTTCCCTTCAGTATTTGATACTGCATTTTCTTCTGATATCAATCCATACCCATTAATACCAATATGCCATCTCTAGATGATTCGCATCAACTGTGTAGGAGCAGGGTAAACAACTCTGAGGTCTGAGAACTCTGGATTGGCCACTAGTGCACTGACATTGCTTCATTAAAAAAGTGAGTAATAGGGGATATTTTAAAATTTCAGATTTTCCCAAAAGCTGTCTTCCAAACACTACTGCAAGTTAAATGTAACAGGGAAATCCAGTACTTGGCAGCAGTTGGTATGTTATGATTGAAAACAACGAGGCAGAGCTCCAGATTTGTACATAGAAATTCAATACTTTTATTTTACATTCATACACCTATTATACAGTTAGCTTAATGCATTTTTTTAAAAAAGCCCAATCCCAAAACAAGTCCTGAAGATATACAGCTCAAGCAATAATGAATTTGCAGGTTTTACTTTTTTTGAAAGTTGGTGAAAAGCATTTAGAAAACACACGCATACACACACAAAAAGGGGGAGAGGGGAAGGACAAGTGTTGCCCTGCAGTTGTACCTTAGTAGAGCTGGGCTGAATGGAAAAAGGGATTCAGTCGCCATTGAGAAAGGCACCTTGAATAAACAGTGTATATACAGACAGAAGGGAAAAACTGGGCAATATTACAACCTGTTACTGTAGCTTCTAGTACAATGACAAAACTGTAAACCTTCACTTGCTGATAGAAATAAAAACAAAGTCACATTTCTATACAAATACAACTGAAGCAAAATATCTTATTGGTCGTACCATAGCAGTACCAGTTTTTCTTTTTTTAATGCATATTTTAATATTTAATCAAAGATTGGTTCTGCCAGCAGAGAGCAATCTTGGGGATATAATTATGCGCTATGTCACAATGTTTATGCCTTTGCCTATACTTAATGAATGTTTACCAGTAGCAACCCACCTCATGCATGTTTTACACTTGAGAGAGCAGCTGTCATTCTCATATACAAATAAAACCAATTAATATATTAAACATTAAAGTCACAGCCAGGATTTCCTTTTGCGACAGAGGCCATTCTAGTGTGGTGTAACCTGTACACATATAAAAATCTGTGAACACAATTCTTTACACTGCCAGAAATACCGTTGCCTTAAAATATACCAACCTTCAATTAAAATTCCCCAATACTTTCAGAAAAGTAAGGTCTTTGATATAAAATACTGTATTCTCAAAAACTGGATTTAAATGTTTTACATTCCATCCTCCTTTTTTCCCCAACAAAATAAAGCATTTTTTTCTCCATAACTCAAAGCTTAAAAACACTCAACATTACTGTACATGTATATGCAAATATAAACAATAAAGTGACAAGAGACCATATGTGGTTCTATGTTCACATGTAGAGGAAACCCGTAAATTGGCATTAGATGCCTATATTTTTTTTCTTCTTAACTGATCAACACAGTGTGGCACTACAATTTTGGATGATTGTACGAGTCAGGCTCAGAGAATGCCATGGTCAGGACTGGCCCACGTGTTTGTTCAGCAAGCCTTGGTCAGGTCAGTGGGCAGGTCTGTTGTGGACATGCGGTACTGGATCTTGGTGTTGGTGATTGCGCCGTGCTTCTGCCGGAGATGCAGCCGCAGCTGACTCTTGTGACGAAAGTGCAGGTTGCATTTCTCGCACTGCAAAAGAAATGAAAGAGGACAAAAAGCTCATTGTTATCATTCAGGGAGGAAAAAAAGTAGGCATAATAAAATTGAACATTTACCAAATGCTAATGCCTTCTGATTGTTATTATTTTTTTGGATCCTGCACTTTATATGCCTGTTTCCACAGTGGACAGACTTTTCTTATTAACTATTATTGCCATCTGAACCTTAGATTACACAAATAAAGCAAAAACTCACTAAATCTCACTTTCTGTTGTATAATGAGTAATGTCTGCTTTTGCTGTACTCACATGATAGGGCTTTTCTCCTGTGTGTATGCGCAGGTGACTCTTGAGCGTCTGCAGGTGTCGGAAGCGAGTGCCACAGATTTCACAGGGATATGGCTTCTCTCCCGTGTGGATCAGAACGTGGGCGCGCAGGTGAGCGACCTGGCCATAAAAGGTTAAAGCCTTTTTATTTCAAGCCTGTATATGGAATGGTCATCTTAAAGCTCATTTTTTCACCTTTCACACCTTCCTATTTTGAGGCTCAGACAGAAATAAGTACCTGAACAAAACGAGCTCCACATGTCTCACACTTGTATGGCTTTTCTCCAGAGTGAATGCGTGTGTGGGTCTTGAGGTTAGCTGGTCGATTGAACTGTGCACCGCAGATGTTGCACCGGTACGGCTTCTCTCCTACAACATGGCCCAATAGAAAACAAGTTAAGGCACAGATCTATAAACAGCAGCTGAAAAAAACTCAACAGTAGATAGTCACATGCAAAAATTTGAATACCCCCCATGAAATGATGTTTTGAAGTAAAAAAACATGGTCTTCTACATTGAGCACACTTAAATATGGCATTTTTCTACTATTCTACTAAATGTTAATGCGTAAATTCCATTTATTTGCTAAGTTTAACATATTGGAAAAAATAAAACCAAAACGTAAAATGTGCCATCACGTTTGCACAGGTCATATTCCATGTTTTATTTGTTCCAGTATGTTAAATTCAGAAAATAAACAGTAATTGTGCTCTAAAATATGCAGAAGTTTGTTCTCTGTAGAGACTCTGTTAACCTATTTTCACTTAGAAAATAAACAAAAAGGTAATTTGATTGGGGTGCACACTTTTACACACTGTACATATGTATATAGTTTTATTTTTTACCTGTGTGAACTGTCTTATGGCTGGCAAGATTTCCCTTGTAGCGGAATGCTGCTTGGCACCGATCACATTTGTATGGCTTGTCACTGTGGACCTGAAGCATGTGGCGTTTCAAAATCTCCTCTTCTGCGAATTTGGAGTCGCATTCGTTACAGAAGTATGTACCGTTTTCTGTAAAGACCAAGATACAAAATTAGCAAGAAAAGCCGCTGCTAAGCGGTTACGGTCATCGCAAGCTAAATTCAATTAAGGGTATCAGTGTTTAAGCTTACACGGTATGAATGCATACACAAATGAATGGCTCACCACAGCTGGAGTCGGAGTACTCAGAGTGGAGCTCAGACATTTCCTCAGTAAGACGCGAGCCAGGAGTGTTGGGACAGACGTCTGAGTGCTGTGGGGACTGTGAGCCGCAGGAGGTGCACTTTAAGTGGCTCATATAAAGAGAAGAGTGGCTGTCACCGTTCCTCTGTGATCCTTCCAGAGTTCTGCTGAAGAGAAATATGAAGGTTTTTTTCAGTCTCCTTTTTAGCCTTTTCACTGGAGCAAATGCAGCCACCACTGGCATTCTCACACTCATTTTTAGGGTGTTTGATGAATTTCACACATCCTGGCTAAGAAGGTAAATCCTCACTGTGCTATAAGAGGATTGGAATGGATGAAGAAAATTTCAATCTGGGTTTTTAGAGGTAGTGGGAGGAGAACTGCACCACAAAACACTGGCAAGTCGGCTCTCCACATTATTGTATAGGGAAGCTAGATGGCATAACCAGTTTAGGTGCGCAGATCGCTGGATGCGCTTTTTGCTATGTCGCATCAACAAAAGACCAACAAAATGGCTTAGATTATGGATACTCATCTGAAGGATTCCAGTGCTTACTGGTATGTTTTTTGACTATGAACTGGATGTATATGCATTCAGACTGTGCACCAATTAGACCTCATTCTGAGGACAGCTTGTTGGTGAAGTCAGGGGTGTTCTTTGCAGACATAGTCTCGTTGAATACAGTTCTAAGGGTCTGTGTATGGGCCAAAACTTCAGTTACTTATTGTCATAGCTAAACAGCTTATACATTCATTTCCACAGTAAAGTCTGAATAATGGACCGAAACTGGATAATTCATCTGAAGTTTAACAATATCACCATTAGTAAAACAGACAGAGGCTCTCACCTGTTGATTATATTGTTGAGGCGGCTGGCTTGGGGCACAGTGAAGTCGTCTCCGTGGTCACTTATCTTGGTGTTAGTGACCTGTGATTCTGGGTGGTCAGTCTCAGAAGTTGGATGGAAGGCAGGCAGTCCCAGACGCTGTGGTGATCGCGTCTCAGGGTCATGAGGACCGCTCTCTTCCTCCTTGGTGCTCTGATTAAGCACAATAAATTTGTACTTTTTCCAGTTGCGAGCCTTAGGGTCCTGTGTGCCTTGCAGAGTCTGAGGCTGTGAGGCTTGCGAGAGGGCGGCGTTCTTGCTGCTGCTCGATTCGGTTGGAGAGTTAGGCTGGCAGTCTGACTTCAGAGGGCTCTGGGGGCTGCTCATCAGCGTCTTGCGGCCACTGGAAGGCATGCCCATGGAGTAGTGTTGGTGGGTCAGGTCCTCTTCAGCCAGAGGCCCCTGCTCTTTACCCATCTCCCTCTGTTGCTCCTGGGCCAGGCTGGCCATTCCGTGCTTTCTAGAGCTCATGCCGATAGACTGCACCAGTCCTTCCAGGCTCTCCCTCTTCATCTCCTCATTTCTGCCCAGCTCCCGGGAGGAGTAGGGGGTCGCGTGGCACATGCTTGAAGGTCCACTGGTGGTGCTGCGACCGTAGTCAGCCACCATGGAGCTGTTACCATCAGCCGGAGAGCAGTGTTTGTGTTGGATGGGGGCTCCTTTGGAGAAATCAGGGAAAGTATTTTTGGCATCTGTCAGCTTACAGAGAGGGAAGGGGAAACCCTGCATGGGGAACTGGCCATAAAGATGATAAGAGCTACTAGGAGCGTTAACTCCGTTTAATATGCCTGGACCATAAGACCTCCCGTCTCTGAAAGGACCTGCACGGCCTGGTATGCTCTCCACCATCTCGTGTGGTCTGTAACCATGAACATCTTGAGGTAAAAGTAAAGGACTGATGAGGAAGTCCTCTCTGGGCAGTTTGATGGAGGAGTCACTGTAATAAAAAAAAAATGTCAAAATGTTGCATCTCCAAAATGTTAACTTGACAAGAGAAGAGAATTAATCTTTTATGTATGTTAATGTCAGAAGATTTTATTTCGAATCATTTTGGACTGAAATGTTCACATAATGTAAACGGCAACTGGCATTATCGAATGATGCCTTTAAAAAAAGGTTTAAGTACTTTTGGGTAGGGTAATTCCTGGAGCATACCTGGACTTAATGAATCTGTGGCAGGTATCAACGACATGGTCCATCTGCAGGTAGATGGCTGTGTTCATGACTGCCATGATGAGGCTCTCCTTCAGAGTGAGGCGAGAAGTGTACATGAACTCCAGAAGGATTGCAAAGCCTTCCGGGTCGACCTTCGGGTCCAGACTAATAGCGTTTAGGTTGCATTTTAGCGAGTCAGTGAAGATTGTGTAGAAGAGCCCACTGCAGAGAGAACAAAGATGAGTACTCCAAGCTTTTAGAATAGATTTCCCCTGAATCTGCACTTTAAAGAACGTACCTCAGACTAATTTAATTAGCATATCCCCCCAAAAAAAGACAAATGATCTTAACTGTGATTAGCAATAAAATGCACCTGCATGCCATGAGGACTGTTTTATGAGCACGAAACTGTTGTCTGTTGACCAGAATGGTGACATCTGTGAGAATATCTCTGCTGCGCAGCCGGTTCAGATTGAGCAGAACATCGCTTGCGTGGCGCGTGAACTGGATGCAGCTGTCTGCTGCACAAGACATTTTGTCAAGATCTGGAAAGAAACGAAAATAAAGCTTATGTTTTGACGTGCCACTGATATATGCATTCTTCAGACTGCAAAAAGAGAGAACATTAAGGGACGTGGACATAACAGCTCTTTTTGCATTGATGTAAAATAAACAATAAAAGTACCACTAAATCAGTAAACACAAATCAGACACAATACAATCAGTAATTACAGCAATGTATCATATACAGTACAATATAATAGGCTGTTAAGTGAATATTCATTTGTTACTTCACTGGAAACTTAATATCCTGTGGAATCAGGTGTAAATGAATGTCTCAATCTCAGCCCTACATTTGATGTAATTAGACACAATGTTGCAAATTATAGCCCACTGGTTTCTAGCCACTTCTTGGAACCTTACAGACAAAAGGAACAACATAATCAACGTTAATTCTTTCACTAGCTAATTTGAAATGGGTTATTGAAATTGAAGTTATAATTAACAAAGCAGTTCATAAAGAACCAGTTGCAGTACTGTACACGAAGCGACACCTGCTGTAGTCCCCCTGTGTTGTCACTAAGGGGCGCCAAATGATTACTAATGTAGGAATAAAAGTTTGCAGCGTGGGGCGCCGTTTTCCAAGTGCAAACAGTACAGCTTGTGTTATTAAAACCTTAAAAAAGAACAAATAGTTACAGGATATTATTTTACAGGAATTAATCATACAACAAATACACTGACTAAGGAAATACTCAATGAAGATCACAGCTTGCTCTTCAGAATATGTCTAAAATTGGATGTATTCAAAGTTAAACAGCCATTACAGCTCACTGCGTTAACCTACTGTAAGACTGAATTTAGTTGCTTAGTTGTTTGGTTGTTCTTTCAGAGACTGTTATTGTTTTTCCTGACAGGATAACTCTTTGTACCAGCAGTTTCCCCCCTTCATCACCACTACATTAAGTGCTTTGACAAATTTAGTCTCTAGACAGGATGGAAATAAATTAGCCAGTAAACATGTCTTACATGTTGAACATTTTGTATCTGCTCCGAGCCAGATTCCGTTTCAGTGTGAAGCCACACAACATCAGTGTCCTCTCTCACTAACCTACATCCAGTGCCAATGTGCGTGTGTGGTGATGAAACACTCCCAAATGAGGTAGATCTGATTTTCCAGAGTAAAATCAGCCTGGCTTAGATGGCCTAAAACCCCTTAAAACAGCGACAGTGCAGCTGATACATATGGCTAAAGAGAGATATGCTACTTTTCCCAGTGAAAGTAATTTTCAGAGGAATTCCACCGGTTTTTCCAATTGTCTGCATAATTCAGCGGTTGAGATGTAAACAAAGTCATTCTGAGTGGGTTGATGTGAAATGGTTCATTTGTAGAGAAACTTGATGACTCAGATTTCTTTACATTGGTGGTGATAGGAACCAGGAGTTGCCATGTGTATGACACAAATATAGCCATTTTAGTTTCCCATTCAAAACCACCAGTGAATCTACATGTTTTCTGAGTTTTATATGTAATGTTGATAATGGTAAAATAGTGGTAAATCTGAAAAAATAAGTTTTCTTTGGGGACTATTTAAGCTTAGAACACCTTACATGTATCCCTCCACCATGAATAGATTCAAATACATTGATTAAAATACATTTAGGCCAAAATCCTATCACAAAAAGAAAAAGTATTCATAACAATTTCGTGTAATAACTTCATGTGAGGGAGCTTTTAGAGGCATTAAACACTACAGACGTCTGGTTCCCATCACCACCACTGTGAATGATTCTGACTATTGGTTTCTCTAGAACAAAGCATTTCACATCGAACCACTCCGAATGACTTTGTTTACATCTTAACCATTCAGTTATGCAGAATTTTTGAAAACTCGGCGGAGCTTCCCTTTATTCTGTCTACCCTTTGCTATTTCGCAACATTTCTGATACTTTTCTACCACAAGATGTCCTTAAGAGTCTAATACATTCATACCGAGCCCCATTCAGTTCAGTCTGAGCTCCCTATCAGGGCACCACATCATCAATTAAGCCGTAAGAAAGACCTTTCCACATTATTTAGGAGCCTACTTTCCTCAGACTCCCAGATTTGCGCCTCAGAACACAATCAGTACATGTCAAAAAAGAGAAACGTTTTAGAAATGCTATGTAGGCTATTCCTTTATTTCTGCTTAATCGTGGTCTCAGTTTGACGTCCACCAAGATCAAGCTACTGGACCCCGCATCTTCTGGCAATAGAATTAAAATACACAGTATAGGCTGTGCATCCCGTGTCCAGCGCATGATCGTGTTTGATGAACTGTCTGTAACCCAACACACACTCAAACACGCATATGCAAGTTTTTGCTCCGTCCAGGAATAGCACGCGCGGCGCGCTCAAGAGCACGCGGAGCCCATACACGCGCGCGCGCTCACACACCCACAACCCCACTCGCACACACTTTTATGACCCCCCTGCTAAATGCGAAAGTGTAGTGAAGGAGCCTGTCATCCGAGACACCTTTCAGAAACGCCTTGCAGAATAAATCTGGCGCTATCTTTGCATTGGCAGGCTATCCGAAACCGCTGCTTATAGTAAAAGTAATAATAGTCTGATTGCGCAAAACTTGTTCTGACGCATTTAATACGGGGCTCATTCTGAGTATCAACAAGCGCTGTGCAGGAGCCGAGGGCTCCAGTAATAACTAACTCACCTCTGCGCCGCTGCGAGCTGTTGCACTAAACTGACCCGTGCACAAACTTTTATTTCCCCTCATTTTCAGCACACAAAACATGTTTCAGTAAGGCAGGTAAAGGTTGAGAAACATTTTAAGCCACTTTTGCAACAGGCTGGCTAAAAAAACGTTAAGTGCGTGTAGATTGGACGCACGTTTCTTGGGTTTTTCCTGCTCGCGCGGTTGCAAAACAAGACTATGGTGGATGAAGCTCAGCAGTGTGAAGGCTACACGGGGGTGTTAGCACCGCGGCCAGCCGAGAAGAAGAGCGCGGGCTTCATCTGCTTAGCCTCAGCCAGCCCCGCCGCTCCGCAGAGCCCTTTCCGCGGCTAATGCGAAACAGATGCACCGCGCAACGCTGCCACGACCCTCCGCCAGAGCAGACGTGGAAAACAGGCAGCCGTACAAAAAACCACAACACTTGCTGCCGAAACAGCCTCATCACTCGTCCACAGCCCAGACACGAGCAGTAATAATAATAACACCACAGCAGCGGCACACACGCACACCACTCTTCAAGTTCACACTTTTTCTGACAGCCTGTCTACTTTTAACTTCATCCTAGCGACTCAGTCCTCCTGTTTTGACCACCTTCACGACAACACACCCTGCACGTCTACCATGTTTCTCCACGCATGCACACACCATCCCGGATCTCACAGTCCCCAAAACTCAAGCCACACACGCTCACGCACAAGCAGCCAACGGTGTGTTTCACCCTGGCTGGATCTGGATGTGACAGCCCAGCCAAGCCGTCACACACACAAGCCCCCCAGATAGGGAGCTCCAACCTGAACTCTACTACATTAAAGCCCTTCAAAACATACGAAATAGACATTTTTTTAAAAAAGAAGCTATTCCCCGAATCAGCTCTACATGCGTACGTCGCAGCAGCATCAAGCCAGATTATGGAGTAAAAAGAGAAGAATTTGATTCCCAAAAAAAAAAATCATCACCTGGTAGTGCTTTCCTAGAAACTTCTTGCATCACCACTTCTAAGAAGCGCAGTTCTAAGAATCAGCGCAGCTCAATTCTCGGAATTTGAGCTTACGACCGTACCACTTTCTCCGGGCGGGGGTGTGCGCTGTTTTATCTCGGCTGCTCGTTCCACTATCCCGGGAAAACTTTTTTGCGCCGTGCGTTTCAACGTCACTATCGAAGTGCAACCTTTTAAAAATCGAAGTTTAAAAGTGTCCCGAAATGGTACTCTTTCCTCATCTCTGATTGGAGAGATCGCCGTGGACTGGCCGCGTCTCCCCCTCACTGTGGACTGTGCCAGACAGAGACGGTCACATGGGCTGAGAAAGCTGCCAGCCTCCAAATACTCCTAAACTAATTTGCTGTTACACAAGCAAAAGTGTGTGTTCGTAGCCTCTCTCTCTCTCTCTCTCTCTCTCTCTCTCTCTCTCTCTCTCTCTCTCTCTCTCTCTCTCTCTCTCTCTCTCTCTCTCTTTTTTTTTCCACCCCTCCCCGTGTTAAACCCACGGCCATAAGCTATACTGAACATATCTGGAGCGGACGAGTTACATAGGTTTTCTGTCTCGTTACGTTATTACTATTTTTTCTTTCTTTTTCATTTGCTTTCAGCGGTGTTTTTTCAGTTCTCGTTGCTGCGGACCTGCTGGGTTTGTGTGGACAGGATTATTCTCGAGACGTGCTTGTCTTTAAGTGCTCCAGTTCTCTCTGATGGCTCTGCTTACGTTTTGATGGCTGTGCTCTGTGCTTGATGCCTGTGGACGCTGCCGTGTGGAAAGTGTGCATAGCATTGGCAGTAGTGGTGTCCAGGGTAAAGCTCGTTTGGTGGAGGAGATTATGTGCTAGTATAGAGCAGAGTGATGTTCGTGTTTTTGACGGATATCTGTTAAAGCCTTTTGTTTATTTCTATATTTTTTTATTTAATCGCTTACGTTGTTTGATATGTGTCTGTTAAGTCCTTATAATGATACTATCAAGTCAGGCGGTTTAAGCTGTAGATGAGTGTGAATGTGCCTGTACTTTTCCGGACATTTAACCAAAGCCACCTGACCCTGCAGTTGTTGTAAAGCCCTGTGTGGCTTTTTATCGGTGTTCATCATGCAGTCTGGTCCTGGCTCTGAGGTACGATTTTGTTAAGAGAATTCTGCACCACTTCTTTAAAGCATTTGATCTTCATAGAACCCAGTGAGAAGATGTGATGAAGGCCTATGAAGAGCTCAAATTGACATGGAGTAAGTCTTTTTGTGGTCAAAACCCATTTGTGCCAACACCATCTACTCTGAAAGAGGCTACAGTAGTGCCTGTAGTCTGTACGTGCTAGTTTACTGTGACATAAGGAGCCCAAAGGTATAATAAGTAGGCTATAGGCTATAAGGTATATAATGCTGATCAACTGGCAAGTCCCTTTAATCTGTATGTAAATGCGTTTTTATATATATATATATATATATATATATATATATATATATAAAAAATGATGTGTGTGTGTGTGTGTGTGTGTGTATATGTTGATTCAAGTATTTAAATGAATAGGCTCAGGTTTCACTAAATTAGAACTAAAATATATTAACTACTTTGAGGTGTTATTATTGCTATTATCATTTTATTATTATTATTAGTAGTAGTAGTAGTAGTTGTATTGTGTTGTCACTATTATTACTTAGTAGTAGTGGTAATAGTAGTATTACAGTATTATTACTCCAGTAGAAGGTTTGCTCCTTAACTCTGTTTCTCTTGCCGTTAGGGTCATAAAGCAGAACTCTGAGCTCTGAGGCCTGTAAGCAGTTCAAGAGCTGGGAAAACAAGGTGTCAGTACACCACCAGTAGGCTAATATACCAACACAAGTGTGTGAGAAATAGTTAAGGGCGCTACTTGTTGAGACAGAACTGTTATTTATCTGTATTTGTTAGGCATTATTGACTTTTTAAAATCATCTGTATGAGACTGAGTTGTATTGGGTCTGGACAGTTTCTTATACAACAAGGCAGCTCAAAATATTTTTATAATCACTAATAAATTTAAACACTATTGCATTGCGAAAAACAGGACATTTGCCTTGGGGATGTACACTTTGCCAGCTCAACAAGTGTTTTTTTTTTTCCCCTCATGACTGCATAACTGCAGTCTGAGACCTGTTGGTGCTTGAGAGAGAAGAGTAGGCTGGAGTTTTCTAATGTGAACAAACTGTCATTTCATGCAAGGGTTTTTTTTCCCCTCTGTACTCAAACACACACATACAGTTTCAAATGCTCCATGTGCCAGCTGTAATTCTCAAGCGTGGGACATTTATAAATTAAGCTTTAAGTGCGAAAGTCTTTATAACTGTTGCCCTGATTGCTAAGTGCTGTTTATGACCTGTTGTTTTCTGTTTATCAATAAGAAGTTATCATTTGGTAAACATATTTGTATACGAAGACAAATGTAACTTTTATAGTGACATAATAAACAATGTTTTGTACTAAAATTGTTATCAGCTTTTTATTTCACGTGCTGTTACAGATTGAGAATTTTGCAAGGTGTGAATTAAAGTGACTCATCTGGTGAAGTGATAAACAGAAGCTTTTCTTTTCCCCTTCGTGAGAATGTAAGCTGCCTAATAGTCTATAAGTGTGGCATATGGTTGGAAAAAAGTAGTTGGTGCAACACAGTAGTCACCTGTTGTCATCTGCTTTCTTCATGCGGCATTAAGAGAATTTAATTTCTGAAAGAAGTTGATGTTATTTTTGTTAAGATCATAGAATGGGGTCATTTTAGATTTTATTGTAGTAATTTGGTAGGAACTTGCCATTGTCCATTCTTAATGGTGTTTGAAATAAAATAAAAAAGGCTTTTCTTTGCTTTGACTTTTCACTCTGTCGTAGTGTATGTGTAGCTCTTTGCACTACAGAGTCTAATTCATCAAGTTTGAGCACATAGTTTATGATGAATGATTTGACTTGTGAATTTCCCTCACTTAAATTAATTAGCAGCCTCTACTAAAACACACATGCACGTACACGCACACACACACATCGTTTTTAATAAAACAGTTAAATAAACACAAAAAAGTAGATTAATTATTGTTATTGATTTTTTTATTATTATTATTAATATTATTATTTCTGTGTTTGGTGCATTTGATCTATTATGTATATATGTGGCCTTGAACAGCAATGCTTGCTGACATTTCTCACTCTTCCAGTGACTGAGTTGTCACTCCCTGATCTAAATGCCTTTCACAAGGGCTAAAAGATGCACAGTTTTTATACTGAAATTGGAATTTTAAAGAGAGTTCAGATTGCAAGAGCTGCAATTTTAATGATCTGTGTTACATAGGCAGTTTTAAAGCCTATGTTATCAACAATGTCGTCTTAAGTTTTAAGTGGACAAATTTATCCCAGTAACATGGAACTTGTAAGATGCCTGTAGATGAGTTTCACCAATCAAAAGCAACTAAACACCCATGTGCTGTGTACATCACAACATAACCACAACTAACTGGCCGTCTGGCGCACTATGTTCAGCATTCAAGCCAGAAAAAAAGGCTGTTCTGGTTGTCTTGGCCAAAACAACAGGCCTGGATCTTAATATCTGGAAAACAATCACAATTAAAATCACGGTCACAATATTGGTCAGAGAATTCATAATTACATATTTTCCCCACATCATTCAGCCATACTGAATTCACTAGAACAAAAAAGTAAGTACATTTCTCTCTAGACCTTTTTTTCCCTCCATGCTTCCAGTGATACTGAGTCTCAGCGTTCAGCATTGAGTGAATCTGTGTATACGTGTGTGTGAACTCACCTGGATAACTGCGTTTGGGGCTCCAGGCACTCGTCCTGCTCATACCCTGACACAGGTGGAGCACTTGCTGTGCTGTGGGGATAAAAGAGGAAGACCTCTATATATGTTTATTTAAAAGATCTATGGCTTCTAATCTCAGTAGGGTGATCAGTGGACTTACATTTACATTTATTCTTTCAGCAGATGCTCCTATCCAGAGCGACATGCAAAATATTCATTGTAACCCATACAGAGTATGCAAACAGCACCAAATACATTGTTCAAACGTGAATTGACAAAAGCAGGGACTGCATATGTGTAATGGCAGGTTAGGTAAATCATTTTGTGTAAATTTTGCAGTATGTTTGCTGCATGAATGAAGTTTAAGCAGTGTTGAAATGACCCAAAGAGATAAGGAAGTTTCATGCAGGTGGAGTGCTTCCTTTCTGTTGTGTGTGCAATGTGTATCAAGTGTATCTCTAGTGTGAACAAGGCGATGTGCACGGATGAATTTGTGCTCGTGTCTGACCCCCCCCCCATCATTTGTCTGCATTACTTTTCTAACTGCCTTTTGCTTCAGCTTAGACAGGTTTTGAAATCATTTTTCTTGCCTTCTTCCACTTTGGTATTTTTTAGACCAAAGTACATGTGCTTATGTTTTTTCCCATACAGATGCTCAAGTATCAGAATTCTCAGAATGCACGTTTCTTATCTGATGTATATGAATCATACCATTTTGTCTTTTCCAGCAAAGGCCCACAGCACATAAGTATGCTAAGAGGAGAATGCTAATTGTTTATGTTACACCACCATGCAGGTGCCTAATTGATGGGTACGTCACATAGCGCCGTAGTAGGAAATGGAGTGGGACCTGACCGTCCTTGCCTTCTAATGAGACCACTGCTAATTGTGCTCCCAACAGTGAGACCCTTCTCCTGGCACAGGCTGCAGATGGAAGCCCCAGTACTAACGCACTCTTCTGCCTTGCTGAGCTGGGCTTTTCCAGGGTGGGCCCCACAGGGATGGACTCGTTTCTTTTGCGACTGAAACTGTGCTGACATTAGTGGGGGTTTTTGCATGCTTATTTTGGGAAGAATATAACTGTACAACAGGAGCTGTACTTGGCATGAAGATACAGTGCATGATTTTTTAAGACGCTCTCCCGCTTTATCTGTAAGTTAAAGCCAGCCAGGGATTGCAGAACAACAAAGTATTTGGCCTGGTAGTGAAAGCTTTAAAAGCCTTTGTCTTCAGGCTTTATAGGAAAAGAATATGTTTGCATTGTCATGCATTTTATTGCTCTGTGTGTTTTTGAATTATGTCGAATATTTTGTAGAGTAAACAGCACTGTATAAATCTTGTCTTTACATAAAAATAGTTGCAGGTCCTTGTTGTGGCCCATTTTGGCCTAATTGACATTCTGAAACTGAAATTAGCTTCACTGCCCCCTGTAGTGTTAAGTATCAATTTTAGAATTACTTATATTATTACTTTTCAGAAGTTAATTTTTGAATTTAATTAGAAATTGTTTTTTTATGAGTTGTTTTTACTTTGATATTGGGAGGAAAACAAACCCCTCATACATCATGTCCTAATCAAAGTTATGAGGTAGTCATGTCATAATAATGCTTTGGTTAAAAGCTTTAATACTGCAACTGTGAATCACTGTTTTATTCCCTTTTTTACAAGGTCAAGGTGCCTAGCTATAAATGGCCCATATCTTGTAAAAACATGTTTTCCTCACTTTTTAAAATAAAAAAAGATGTAGTATGTAAACATTAGGTTTTAACTCTTCGCTCTTCACTCCCCAGTCCTCACAGTCTGTATATTAAAACTAAGCTGCAAAAACAGCCCAGAGTAGTTATTTTAGGCAGCTAACAGAGCCAATCAGAACAGAGCTCATTCACACAGATCATTCTTAAGGGATAAAGAGAGTTTGGAAAATGGTCATGTAAAAATGAACATTGTGACTTTTTGTACATAAACAAATCTCAAGTGAATTTTTAAAAAAATATTTATAATAAAATAAAGATGAAAACATAGGATGAGTCCGTTAAACATTTTGAAAAGGAGCATAAACAACTAAAGGCTCTGAGCACGCAGCAGGTCTGGCTAAAGAAACATATTATTCCTGCCCATTGGCAGCATTACTAATGTCAACATTGAGAAGTCACATGACAATGTCTGCTTGTCCTGGTCTTCAGAGTCTTGCCTATTAAATTGGCTTACACATACTCTCTGTGCTTCATCTCTTGAAATTTGAACCACTGACCTTAAGTTATACTGAACATTTTTAGGTTCACGTTGACCCTTTGTTTGAGAAGCCACATTTTTGTGCTCTCTTAAAGGCACAAAGAAAGTAGCAAATGTTTTTTGTTTACCAAAAAAAGTTTGTGCATATGTACACACTTTTCCCCCCTTACTGCATAGTACATAGTCCTTTAATGGGTATTGTGTTTGCTTTTGCCGCATCACAGTGGTGAAGTCTACATGTTGCCAGTGTTGAGGTAAGAAAGACAGGAAGACACGCTCCAAAAATAGTTTGCCTCTGCGCTACCTTGGCTAGCTGCACTTCGGATTTTGTGGGCTGATTTTATAGAGCACAGTTTAGGTGCAGGCACATGCGATACATCTCTCTTTTCTTTTCTGGTCCTCGTTTTGGTGGTGGGGTTACAGCCCGAGCAGTGCTTTTCATCTCGAATATCTGCGACCGGGGCGATGGCAGCCCACCACGTGCAGAGTAATTTCACCAGAAAACCACATAAAATGCTGGGCGCTTTTGCGAAGTGAAAGAACTCACTCACTTTCTTCTGCTTAACACCAACTGACCTACTTTGTTGTCTTGCCGGAAGGAAGAAAGTGAATCAACTTAATAAATCGTCTTTGACTGACAAATGCATGTTTTCTTTTTTATTCAAGTTTTTAATCTGCCATTGTGTAGTCTGTATTGGCTTAGGGAACATTGTGACCATGGACTGCAGATAGGATGAGAGTCTTGAATATTTTTTTCAAATAGCTTTCAGTGAGTATAACCTAGTAAAGTCTAGAAATAACAGTTTACTTTTTATTAAACTCTAAGGATCTTCATATGAGGGAATGTATACATTTCGCTTGACGTGTTTAGCTACTGGCAAGGCCTCGTCAATAGATTTAAGGAGTGGGATTCTGTAACCTCCTCTCAACTCTTAATAATGGAAAAGAAAAGCATAATGAGATAATGGCTACTCTGAAACGACGGGGAGAGTTTTTTTTTGGGGGGGGGGTATAGCGCAGCATTAGCGAGTAAAGGTTTTCAGTGCCTTTTAGGTAAATTGTTTTAACCTTCCTGCGATGGCTCTTGTCATGACTATAAAACAGGAGAACTTGTCTCACTGGAATTGCCCTGATATCTGCCCATTTGGATCCGGCGTCCCACTAAAAGCACCCCAGGTGTTCGCAAACCAACAGGGAAAAATGTCTGTGAAATAATTAAGGCCCTCCTTCACAACAATCTCCGATTCAGCACTGCCAAATAAAGAGTGTGTTGAGCTCCAAAACAAAGAGCAGCGTCAACTTTATTTCAATCCACTCGGGGGTTGTTTAAGGCGCTCCGACACGGTTATGCATAATACACGGCCATAAAGCATCCAGGAGTTTGGAGAGAAATGTGTAATTTACCGTGGCCCCCTGCAGTGCCTAGCCACATGTGAATGAGATAAT